AAATTGCTGCAATTGCTTTAAGGTCAGCCCTGATGAGACTGTGCAGGGGTTGGACTGACAAGCCCTGCACCTTCTAGGTCCCTGGTGTCACTATTCAGAGTACGGACTCAAGGACTTGTTATGGAAATAAAGGGGGGGCACTTATTGGAAATCAGTTTTGTCACCTTTTCCCCCCACCAAACCCCAAGACAATGAGCCCAGCCACCTTTTATTCACAGTTGCATAAGCACTACACTACAGCATAGCCATAAACCTGTACATTCAACTGCTGAAATATACACCCAAAATGTAGCAATGGAGATTTATGTTACTGCTTTATGAATGAACACTGTGTTTGATGAATGGACTCTGTATTTTGTGAATTACCTAAGAGCCACCAATAGGGAGCTAACCAATTGCTAACCAATGACAGCTAACCAATTGGGTACACTGAGAGCCAGTGTGGTGTAGTGGTTAAGAGCGGTAGTCTCGTAATCTGGGGAACCGGGTTCGCGTCTCCGCTCCTCCACATGCAGCTGCTGGGTGACCTTGGGCTAGTCACACTTCTTTGAAGTCTCTCAGCCCCACTCACCTCACAGAGTGTTTGTTGTGGGGGAGGAAGGGAAAGGAGAATGTTAGCCGCTTTGAGACTCCTTAAAGGGAGTGAAAAGCGGATATCAAATCCAAACTCTTCTTCTTCTACTACTACCAAACAGTGATCCCTATTGCTGAAAGCAGGTAACCAGCAGGGAATGCTTCAGCTCAGCCTTTGCACAGTTGACTGAACACCCCCTGCTGTGCAGATAATGGAGAAAGCTAATAAATTGTATCCCTTCTGGCATCCTGGCCAACTCCATTATGCTGGTATAAATCCTGGTGCACCACAAGCCCAGAATAGCAGCAAATAAAATCCGCTCATACGTCAGCGACTGATAAGACTTGTCAACCAGTTCTTCCAAAGTCTTCCTAAATTATAAAGTTCTAAAATACAGGCCAAAAGTGAACAGGTCTGGGAAGAGTGAGGCATACAATGGGCACCACCAGTGAAAAGGCCCTGCTCCGTGTAACTCCTGCCCTGTCATTTGATTGAGTGCCCACTTGACCTCCTTCTTGACATTGAATGCTATTGAAGTCTCCAGGTCCAGTACAAAGACCATAAGAAGGGAGAGCAGGGACCTTGAAGTTCCCAACAGCTGTTAATCAAGCAAGCAAGCAAGCAAGCAAGCAAGCAAGCACACAGGTCACCTTTGTCACAGTCAGGACACCTATGTCCTGGCCAGGCCTGCACCCAATCTTGTTTTTGTACAATCTTGTTTGTCCTCAGTAACCAAAATTATATTATCAACATATACAAGTAGAAAAGTTGTTTTCCTTCATTTGCAAGGAATCATACAAAACAATGTGGCACTAATAAAGAAAAGTTCCAGGGTGGCAACATAAAGTAACTAAAATGCTTTTGCAGTTCATCAAAACTATCCAGCGATATCAAGTTATAGGAAAACTGGTGCTATTAACAGTAATCCTTCTAGCTGGTTAATTGGTTCGGCAACTTCCATGCACATGGTGTGTGATGCCAATCATTTCCCCCAAGAGTTAAATGATAACTAATCAGAGGCAGCTACAGTTGCAAATGGCAACAAAATATCTTTGAAAGGAAAAGGAGCAGGTTTGCTCAAGTGTGTTGCAGGTACAAATACTGTTTGTAATGAAGTGAGAGCAGTAGTTTACTTGCTCGAATTAACAAATAAGAAAGTTTTGAGAATTTAAATTCTAGATTAGAATTGATTACTTCATTGAGAAGGGGATTGTAAGAAAAACACTGGGGCCTAATTGGAATAGTAGAGTGCCTGGTATCTGGTGGGCAATCTCATCCTTTATTTCCACACTGTGGCTGCCGACCAAATCACCTGTCAGGAGAGTTATGAGATTCAGGTGAGGGTCAGATGCCTTGTCAATCCCAGCAGGTATATAAGAGGATGACCACCTTTGCCCTGGCCAGGCCCTCAGTTTTTTTAAGAATAACATTACAACTTCATTTTCCTAAAAAATAATTCTTATACAGTGGTACCTTGGGTTACATACGCTTCAGGTTACAGACTCCGCTAACCCAGAAATAGTGCTTCAGGTTAAGAACTTTGCTTCAGGATAAGAACAGAAATCGTGCTCCGGCGGCACTGCGGCAGCAGGAGGCCCCATTAGGTAAAGTGGTGCTTCAGGTTAAGAACAGTTTCAGGTTAAGAACTGACCTCCGGAACGAATTAAGTACTTAACCCGAGGTACCACTGTACCACAAAAGATTTACAAAGTTCAGCTATTGCAAAAGTTTTTCAGTGTTAATTTTATGCATTTTTTAAAATCATCATGGTATTTAACAATAATATCTTAAGTCCTTTAGAGGAGAAATTGTGAATTGCAGAATTTTAAATATCCGTCATCATCCTTGGCTTCACTCAATTTTATTTATAACACTCTTCCATTTTCTTCTAGCTGTGAGGGTGGGGGATGGGGAGGGGCCTCACAAGTGGAGTAGCCTAGGGCCTCTCTTCATCTAAATCCAGCCCTGGGCAACAACCACCAGTAACTTAGCAGTATTGTTGTGACACTGGCGAATTTCTTTCCACCATTGTGGGACATTGTTGCAGAACAGAACGCAAAAAAGCCCATTTCATGGTGAACTTCTGCTGCATCAACAGCCACACGGGAATCCCCTGTTGCCCAAGATTAAAACTCACCCACCTGCTAGTGCAAAGGGCACTTGCGGTAGCAGACAGAGAAAGTTGGGTGCAGCCCTGCATTTACAGCATCTCTTTGCAATTCGTTCTCTCGTGATGAATATGCATTTATTTCCACCCTAAACCAGGTGTTCAAAAAGAAAGCGCACAAGCAAGAGAAAAGAGCAGTAAGACTCTCTGAATAGCAAGGCCTTAACAATTCCATACCCCAGGCTTTGGGCACCAGATGCTGCGACCTACAACAGACTCTCTGAGCATTGTTGAATGAATGACAGGTGCAGCTTAAAGATGCAGCCAGTTAATGTAATTGCAATGCCCTGAAGCACCTTCAGCTATAAAGTCTATAGATTACACATCTGCCATCCATGCTTTGATCAAAGCCATGTCTGCCCTAGCTTTCCATTATCATGTTTTGCATTTGTGATGTGTCACCAGGATGACTAGACTCTCAGAATGGGGCGGCGGCAGTGGGGGGAACATCACCCATAGTTGCTGTCTCCGGGGGCTAAGGCACTGTGAGCCCTCTCAATCTTTTTGAGGCCTTGAATTGCTGGAGCTGGGCTCAGAGCAATGTTAGAACAATGTGCTTCAGAAGACGGCACTTCTGCCTCCATTGATGTCCAATATTTCACAGATGAAAATAGAGGCAATATTGCACATGGTTGTGGGGTTAGGGGCAAAGGATGGCAGGCCAGCAGCATAGTCTAAAGGACCATGGTGGGCCGAATCCAAATCCAAGCAGAAACTAGAGCAGGGGTCTTGAATCTTTTTGGAATTTTGAGACTGCTCCATTGGCACCAATCACAAAATGGCTGCCTCGGGAATGTGGCACGACACAAAATGGCTGCTGCATCTAACGGAGCAGAAAGAGACAGGGGACCACAAAATAGTGCAGCCATGCTGTCCTATCCCTCATATTAGCCACCAATGCATTCACAGAGAGAAGCTCTTTGCACCTCTCCTCAGTTCAGAACAGAAGGAAGGCAATAAAAGAAGGCTCCCAATAAAATACGTTTAAGAGGATGTAGTACAAGCGAGGTTTTCATGCACTGTGGATTTCTGAAGTAACTTTTACTGAGACCTTTCACCAACACCACAGGAAGTACTGGTGGGCAAACTGGCACCAGCAGACACCATGCTGGTGAACCCTGAAATAGAGGATTAAAGTGCAAACCTGCCAATGCCTCCAGAGGACAGAAGCACTGAGGCAGGCCACAGACTGCAAGGCAAACTGGGGATTATATTAGCATTGCAAACAATAAACTTGCAAAGATTATAAGCCGGGGGGAGCACTTAAAACCTGGCTAACCTGCTGGGGGCTGGCAGTGGAGGGGCAGAGAGCTCTATCTTCACCACTAGTGACCTGCTGCATTTACATGATGAGTACAGAGGAAGACGAGGCTTCCCATCTCCGGCAGCCGACTTGGGTTCTATGTTGGGACAGAGTGCTCCTCCCTTTCTGCATTACTCACTTGCCTGCATGGAATTCCTTGTCACCTTTGGCTACCAGGCGAGTGCTTAATTACAAGGCTGGCCTACCATAAAAATAAGCACTGCTCAGTTTCATCTGCATTCATATTTGTTGGAGTCATGATCCACTGAGAAAGTAAGAGGAGCGCTGCTGGATCCGGCCAGTGGCACATCTAGTCCAGCATCCTGTTCTCACCGTTGTGTGGGAAACAAGAAACTGGGTTTCACCCTCATGAACATGCCCATTGCTAAAACCACAGTGAGGTCGAATTCTGCTTGTTGATAGTATTTACACCCTGTGTGCCTGCCTGCCTGCCTGCCTGCCTGCCTTCCCTGCAAATAGGTAAAGGTAAAGGGACCCCTGACCGTTAGGTCCAGTCACGGATGACTCTGGGGTCGCGGCGCTCATCTCGCTTTATTGGCCGAAGGAGCCGGCATACAGCTTCCGGGTCATGTGGCCAGCATGACTAAGCCGCTTCTGGCAAACCAGAGCAGCGTACAGAAACGCCATTTACCTTCCCGCTGGAGCGGTACCTAGTTATCTACTTGCACTTTGACGTGCTTTCAAACTGCTAGGTTGGCAGGAGCAGGGACCGAGCAACGGGAGCTCACCCCGTCGCGGGGATTCAAACTGCCAACCTTCTGATCGGCAAGTACTAGGCTCTGTGGTTTAACCCACAGCACCACCCGCGTCACATCCCTGCAAATAGAGCAGAGGAATTTGCTTATTCCTGTGAAATCATAGAATCATAGAGTCCGAAGGGATCTTGAGGGTCATCTAGTCCAACCCCCTGCAAATGCAGGAATCCTGCCCACAGCCGTCCCTGGGTGGGTTCAAACCACCAACCTTCTGGTTAGCAGCCAGAAGCACTGACCCACAAAGCAAGGGTGGATTCAGGCAGGAATTCATCATGTTCCAGCTACCTTTTCCCTCCATAGAGAGTAGCTTCCAGCCCTCCCACACATTGATGCTTCCCTTTTGTTAGTTTATCCAGAGGGAAAGGAGCATATTTTACAGGGCTATGGCTGCCTATAGAGTGAGATGGTGCAATAAATCATTCAGAAGGGTGTATCTCTGCTCCAACATAATCACAAAGAAACCCGGATCCCGTGCAGACTTTGGACTGAAGCATAGGTGAATTGTCGATTAAACATTGGATTGTTAGTGGTAAATGTCTCTTTTATTGCCCGACGATGGGTTGGGGCAAAATGTTGAGAATGTCAATGCCACCTTAAAAGGTTTATCAGCAGAGGTGGAGTTTGACACGGTCAAGCCTCTTTCTTTTACACCAAGTATAAAGGTCTAACAAGTTTGCCCCACTGATCATTTCCTACAATAGAGTCTCTGAAGCTGGTAGTTCCTTAGCTAAAGAAGAAGGAGAAGAAGAAGAAGAAGAAGAAGAAGAAGAAGAAGAAGAAGAAGAAGAAGAAGAAGCAGCAGCAGCAGCAATGGCTTTCTCTGGCTTTTCCTCTGTTCAGTCTTCTCGACCAAGCCTAGCTGGCTCAATCTACAAATCATCGTCCGTCAAGACATACCGAGCACCCAGTGTCCATGGAGGAGCTGGTGGGTACGGCACCCGCATCTCCACCGGCACCAGCTATGGTGGCTTGGGTGGTGGCTTTCAGCTTGGTGCTTCCACCGGTGACCTGCTGCTTGCCGGCAGTGGGAAGGCGACAATGCAGAATTTGAACGACCGCTTGGCTGTGTATCTGGAAAAGGTGCGCTCCTTGGAAAAAAGCAATGCTCAGCTTGAAATGCAGATCCGTGAGTGGTATGAGAAGTGCTCCCCTGTTGCTAAGCAAGACTACAGCATGTATTTCAAAACTATTGAAGACCTCCAGAACAAGGTAAGAAGTTGTTCAAATTCTAAGCCATTGACTGGGTAACGGTATGAGCCTGTGAAGGGTAGACAGTGTGCCATTTCCTTACATGTGTATATTAATCAAGCCAAAAAGTTATTTTAACTCAGAGCAGTTCGTGCTGATTTTCTCACAATTATGGCTCTCCTGAATCACCTTTGGCTGGAAGTGCACTGCTTGAGGATATGTGCTGACCTGGCCCTGACCAAGTGGATGAGCTATGACTTCATTACACAATGTGAACTAGATAGCACACTTGGTTAGAGCGTGGTGCTGATAACGCCAAGACTGCGGGTTCGATCCCTGTATGGGACAGTTGCATATTCCTGCATTGCAGGGGGTTGGACTAGACGATCCTCAGGGTCCCATCCAACTCTATGATTCTATGATCTATGATCTCTATGGACTCATGTCATCAGTCATCCCATCCAAAGGTCATCCATCCATGGTAGCTGCCCATCAGCCTGGAGGTGTGGCAAAGTGCCCTTCAGTCATGCCCTGCACATTTCCCCGCACAGTGAATAACTTAGGAGGCTCCCCAACAATGCAATGCTTCTTTTTTTATGTATACAACTAAGCGGAACACCAAAATAGAACAGTCCTTCTGCAGAGGCATATTTGACTTTTGTTTTTAAACAATTGTTTGAGCAATTAAGGTCAGTGAGAAAGGGGAGGATTGGTTTGAGAAGATATTGAATTGTTTGGGTAGGTTTGAACAATTTGGGGCAATTAAAATGTTAAAAGTTAAATAAACCTTGTGGAGGGAGGAGTGTTAAGGTGTATAGAAGTATACATATGGTTGATTTGAATATGTTATTATTGAATATTATTGAATATGTATGTTACTGAATATTGTATACCCAATGTGTCAGCCGCCTGGGGGGTTTCACTCTTTGTGTTTTAGTGGGTGGTAAAAATAAAATATTTTTTTAAAAAATTGTTTGAGCAATGAGCACAACTGGGATCAAATAGCACTGTATTGTCTGGGGCATGGAACCACAACTTTGTATCTAGCCAAGTCGTAGTCAGAGCAGACCGACGGAAACCAATGAACTTACATTAGTCATGTCTGCTGATTTTAGTGGGTCTGCTCTGGGCCTGCCTTAGATTAATTCAACCCACCATTTTTATTTCATTGGGAAAGCGCCTTGGCCGTGTTAAGAGACTCTAGTGAAAAAGCAGATCTGTCCCATAATTAGATTAAAATGTCTGCCTGTCAGAAAATATCAAAGCTTCTTGAGAAGGAATCCTCTGTTTTCTCCATGTTATTCACTAAAGTTACTACTACTACTACTACTACTACTACTCCCATGTCGGGGGGGTGCACTTCCCTATTTACTCTTCCCACACCCTACCATGAGTCAATTAAAACCTGTTATAAAATCCCAAATGCTGATGAGAATGGCCTTACGAGCGTGCCATTTAAATCATTCACCCCACCCTCTTTCCTCACCGTTTTGTACCTAATCTAATCTCTACCATAAAGTTGCACCCACAGAAAAGTAAATATGTGGTCGATTGAGACTTGGGAGGTGCCATGTATGGAAGTAGGGAGAAGGGGTAGAGTCCATGATCAGGTCGTAGCTTCTAGATTCGTGATAATTCTCACTGTGTGGTTTTCAAGAGCAAACAAACACTGCGACCAAGTAAAACTTACATGCGGGCACTTGGAATTTTGAGAAGATTTCCATGAGAAGCTGCCCCCAACGTTACGTGCTCCCATTTGAGCAGGCTGGGAATTCTTTTCAAGATTACTGGGAAATGTAAGACCAAATTTGCTTTAGAACTGCAGCTAATCCACCCAGGGGGAAACGTAGGAATTTAGGAAGCTGCAGGGCTGCTTTTCAGGAGGAAACTCACAGGAACTCAGTTCCGGCACCTCTCAGGTAGGCGTCATTGCCATTCTAATAGATTAGAGAGGTGTTCATGATGAGAGGTATTTTTCTAGAAAAATAGCACTGGGAAGCTGCCTTATATTGAGTCAGACTATTGGAAACAGCAGCTGACCGGTAGAAGCACTCCAGGGTCTCCTAGCCCTACCTTGAGATGCTGGGTATTGAACCTGCAGATTTTGGCATGTTAAGCATGTGCTCTACTGTTGAGCCTTAGGGATACAGGTGGCGCTGTGGTCTAAACCACTGAGCCTCTTGGGCTTGCTGATCAGTAGGTCGGCAGTTCGAATCCCCGCAATGGAGTGAGCTCCCGTCGCTCTGTCCCAGCTTCTGGCAACCTAGCAGTTTGAAAGCACGCCAGTGCAAGTAGATAAATAGGTACTGCTGCGGCAGGAAGGTCAACGGTGTTTCCGTGCGCTCTGGTTTCTTTCACGGTGTCCTGTTGTGCTAGAAGCAGTTTAGTCATGCTGGCCACATGACCCAGAAAGCTGTCTGTAGACAAACACCGGCTCCCTCAGCCTCAAAGTAAGATGAGCGCCACAACCCCATAGTCGCCTTTGACTGGACTTAACCGTCCAGGGGTCCTTCACCTTACCTTTTACCTTTAACACTGAGCCACATCAATTACCCTAATGAAAGGAAAGCAGAATCAGGCGATAGAGTAGAACAGTCCATGTTGAGTCATGCTAGCTATCTCTCTGCCTAGCGGTAGGGCCCATGTTCTTCATTAGAACATCCTTTTAGAACATCCTTCTCCACTGATCTTCTTCTTTGGGCCTTTGTTTCTCATTATATCGCTGTCTCTTGTCTTTCACTGACCTTCAGTTCTAACTTCCGTTGCCTGGAGGTGGTAACTCTTTTAAGTTTCTGAGTTGGTTTGCTGCATGACTAACCCCTCACTTTCTGTTGTCCCCCCAGATTATCGCAGAACGATTGGCCAACACCCAGATTGTATTGGCGATTGACAATACCAAGCTGGCAGCCGATGATTTCCGTGTGAAGTACGTAGGTTAAAAACCAATGAATACATCATGGCAATTCATTAACCTGCACAGTAATATTTCATTACCAATTATTCTCTCTTACACACACTGATATGGGCTTCTCAAAGCAAAAGCAGGAACTATGGGAATGTCTTTCCAGTTCCACAGGTGGCAGGAGTGGAAATTGTAAAATCTGTGAAGATTTTATGCAGTCTACTTTCATTCATTCATTCATTCATTCATTCATTGCTTGCATTTATATGCCACCTTTTCCTCTAAGTAGCTGAAGGTGCAGTACATGGTTTTCCCCTTCCTCATTTAATCTCAAAAACCCTGTGTGGTAGACTAGGCTGAGATAGGATTGCCATATTTTAAGAAGTAAAAATCCGGGCACAAAAGGGTGTTGAGCTTTTCTTTTTGGAAAAATTCCCCAAAAGTTGCTGATTTTTTTGGGGGGGGGGAATCACCCATAAGTAAAACCTGGATATTTTGCCGATTGTTGAAAATTCCCCCTGGATGGTCACTTCGTCTTTGGAATCTCAGACATGTCCAGGAAAAACCAGACATATGACAACCCTAGAGATCACCATAATCACTGTAGCAATTGTTTGTAAGCATCTACCCAAGAACATTTGAAAAACAAACAAACCCAGAATTCAGGATTCAGCTATCATAAAGAGGTCCATTGCAGTCGTATTGGCCAATGAAATTAACAACTGCTGGGGAATTGGTCCAGTTTGCTAAGAAGGAAGCTGACATGTCTTTTTGAACATCAAACAGATACGAGAATGAGCTGGGTCTCAGACAAAGTGTGGAAAATGACACAGCAGGGTTAGCCAGGCTCATCGATGACTTGACCCTGACTAAGTCTGATCTTGAGCATCAGGTTGAAGGTCTGAAGGAAGAACTGGCTTACCTCAAGAAAAATCACGACGAGGTAAGAAAACATCCCATTAAGCCAAAGAGTTGTGGATTTTCTCAGCTTCAGGTGTCCACAGGACCATCTCTGCCAATAGGCAGAGTGAAGCATTTGCCTCAGGTGACAGATGCTGGTGGATAGCAAGATGTCGGATGGCAGAGCTGGGTGTTCTTGTGCATACACACCCAAACCTGATCTGCCATGCTCAGGTGCAGCAGATTCAATTCTCCAGTTTGGTAAGCTTTTGGACATGGAATGCAAGGAGGAAACCATTTTAGGTAGAAAAATATATTTAGATGGGCCTGCCAGTAGGGCCAAAGAGTTTGAGGGAGGATCTAGCAGAGATGTCAGAGAAGACACAATGGGAACAAATTACTTAAATTACTAAGTTGCATGATTTCACCAGAGCAGACAGCGAAGTGAACAACACAGATTTGGGTGGAAGCCGAACTGCAGGGTAATGGAAACAGTGCTGCATGCAGCAGATACAGAACAGAAAATGATGCCTTCCTACATCCATCGGACCGCATTAGTAAGCAGTAGCCAGATCTTGAAAGCCTGTGACTACACAGATGAGGAGCAATCTCATTCGGTTGACTGGTAAAACTCAGGGCACAGGGCACTTAAGTAGAATAAAAGTAAAGGTACCCCTGACTGTTAGGTCCAGTCACGGACGACTCTGGGATCACGGCGCTCATCTCACTCTATAGGCCGAGGGAGCTGGCATTTGTCCGCAGACAGCTTCTGTGGCCAGCATAACTAAGCCGCTTCTGGCGAAACCAGAGCAGCGCACAGAAATGCCGTTTACCTCCCCGCCAGAGCAGTACCTATTTATCTACTTGCACTTCATGCTTTTGAACTGCTAGGTGGGCAGGAGCTGGGAACAAGCAACAGGAGCTCACCCCGTCGTGGGGATTCGAACCACCGACCTTCTGATCGGGAAGCGCTAGGCTCTGTGGTTTAGACCACAACACCATCCGCGTCCATAAGTAGAATATGGGAAGCCAAAAAGGACCCTATTCCTTGAATTTGATGCTGGTTTCAGTGTTAACTAGCACGGAATAATCATGATCACTTGTCTTTTGCAGGAAAAGGCAAGATTGCAGAAGCAGCTGGGTGGCACCGTGTCAGTCGAGGTGGATGCTGCTCCAGGCATTGATCTGGGCCAGATTATGGACAACATGCGCCAGCAGTATGAAGTCATGGCTGAAAAGAATCGTCAAGAGGCTAAAGACCGTTTTGATAAACAGGTGATGTTTGTCATGATGGTTGTTATGACTAAAGTTTGTTATTATGATTAATAACCATTCACATGGCATTTTACCTGTGAAAACTACTTGACATGCTCCATTTTGTTTATTCACGAAACACTATGATGAAATAGGACGTTAAGTCTGCAATCCTGTTCCTAAATCCCCAATAGGACTTACTTATGAGCAGACAATCGCTGTAATTGTTCCAGTCTGCAAATTCAGGCTAAGAGAGCCTTCCAAAAACCAGCAAAGGCTGGTTTCAAATGGTGCATGTACACATTATAGCAGGTTTGATCTTAAAGGAGGCATTTCCCTCTCTGTGTGAGAGAATGCCCCTCTTGATATTCTGCCTGCTACATATACACATATACATATACAATATATATGCAATTCTTTTTTAAATAACAAAAAAATATGCTGCAGCTATGGGGCACATCCTTTGTCATTCAGCAATGTATTTTAGTCTATTCAGCTACACTGTTTATAGATAGATAGATAGATAGATAGATAGATAGATAGATAGATAGATATAGATATTCATTTTCCAATTAAAAAAAACATTCATATTAATAACAAATCAAACCAAATCTTTCCACATTCATAAACAAAAAACAATGTAGCCAATTATATAATCCGAATTAATTAATTTCAATGGAACTTCGCGTGTTCTGGATTTCAAGAGATAAATGTCCATCCTTTCTCTTTCTGCTATCCTCTTTATTACTTCACAGTTTTCCAATCCTGATATTGACAATCTCCTCTCTCGATCAGTCAGTCACTGGTATAACTATCTTGTTTTATTTGATCATTCCTTATTTCTATAATTGTGCAGGGGGCTTTTTCCTCATTGTTCTCAGTCTTAATATTTTGAAGCACAGTCCTCCTTCAAAGCCTCCTCCTTTTTCTGCTGATTGTTGTTCTAATAGGCTCTGGGCTTCCGTCCAAGGTTGAAATGAATTAGCGTATTCAGCTACACTGTTAATCACCCCAACAACAATAACATTTGATTTCTCGCCGTTGGATTTCTCTCTCTCCATCTTTGTATTTTAGGTTGAGGAATGGAATATAGAGGTGACCACCACTACGCAACAACTTGAGGGCCATAGAAATGAGGTCACAGAGCGGAGACGTACACTTCAGACCACGGAGATTGAACTCCAATCCCAGCTTAACTTGGTAAAGTTCAAGTGCAGCAATACATTTACTGCTTTCGGTTCATTGCATGACTATTTGGGTTCCTGCCCCTCATAGCTATGCAAACGCTGGCAGTCAGCTGACCACCGCCACAGGCTTTGGGTCACTTGACATTCTAGGCTAGGAATCATTCTCTTGAACTGAAATCTGCTCTCTTCTTCTAGAAAGCGGATCAGGAGAATATCCTGGCGGAAACCGAAGCACGTTACGGAGCCATGTTGGCCCAGATACAGGCTTCCATTGGGAACATCGAGGCCCAGCTGATGCAGCTGCGGAGTGACATGGAGCGCCAGAGCCAGGAGTACAGCAGCCTCTTGGACATCAAGGTCAAGCTAGAGGCAGAGATTGCCACGTATCGCCGCCTGCTGGAAGGGGAAGACAGCAGGTGAGGGATTTGGTCCAAAGGTGCTTACGTTGTGCGGGTCAGCAGACTGCATGTTATGGGATGTGGAGGAAAACAGAGCAGAGTGACTCTGGTATAGCAGATGGCATAATCGTATCGTATCGTATCATATCGTATCGTATCGTAAAACCTTTATTGGCATCATATACAACATCCAAAACAAATCAATACAGAATTACCACTTCCCCAGTGGCACAAAACATTTGCTAAAAGAAAGGAGGCAGAGCAGTCTATTTTCACATCTCTTGCTCTCCAGGGAGATCAGACGTCTGCAGTGTATTTCGACGGCAAAAAACCAAATAGAGATATTTAGCCACTAACTTGGTGATCTCCTGATCATTCCCCAGTAATAGAAAATGTATGACCTCTGACTCTGGTTTCCATTTGGGGATACAGAGTTGACCTAGAAATTGCTGGCGGAGATCAGCATATAGTTTACAATTGAAAAGCATATGTGTAAGGGTTTCCACCAGGTGGTCTTCACACGGGCAAGTTCTTTCTCCTTCCACCCTGCCTGAGAACCTTCCCCAAAGGAGAGATGGTATAAGCAATGTGCAGAGAGGAGGAGGAGGAGAGCTTTAAAATGTCTGGTCTGCAAAGCAATACACTGAGCATGCAGAGGCCGTATAGGAAGTCTGCCCACGCAGATGTCAAACCACTAAAGAGATGCTCTTTCTTGTCGTTCACCTAGAAAGTAATGGGCTGTATTCAGTGGAGTCATTGTGCAAGGGGGACGGCTTTCAATCATGCAACAGAACTTCCCCTTCCCTTATGTCTCTCACACACAAACACATCTGCTCTGGGGTTTCAAATCGGCAGCTGATGCAGGCAGAGGAGGGAGGGAAAGGAAGTTACATTACACTTGCAGACATGGGACCTAACTGGTATGATGCCCTGGTGTGCTCTCCCCAAGCCAGACAGAAATGAAGAACCCAAATGCAATAAGCAAATGATGAAACTCTTTTAAAAAAGCAAACCTGATCAAGTAAAGATTATCATGGGTCTGGAAACTAAGCCTTATGAGAAGCGCTTGAAGGAGCTGGGTATGTTTAGCCTGGAATGAGGAGGCTGAGAACGATAGCCATCTTCAAATATCTAAAGGGCTGTCACATGGAAAAGGGAGCCTGCTTGTTTTCTCCTGCTCTGGAGCGCAGGACTTGAACCAATGCCTTCAAGCTGCAATAAAGGAGATTCTGACTAAACATTCAGAAAAAAAACTTTCTTCAGCAGTGGAACAGTCCACGAATGGGGGTGGACTCTCCTTCCTTGGAGGATTTTAAGCAGAAACCAAATGGCCATCTGTCATTGATGCTTTAGCTGAGATCCCTGCATTGCAGGGGGTTGAACTAGATGACCCTTGGGGTCCCTTCCAACTCTTAGATGCTATGATTTTCTGATTTATAAGACACGCTATGTCTGATTCAGTTTTTATTTCATTTTTTTAAAACCAGGACTATTCTTGAAGAACTGGAAGCTGAAAAAGGTATCAGTCTGAATCGTCAACACCCTCTCTCATTTGTTGAAGGTTTCCACTGAAAAAAGCATTTCAGAGAGGCCTGATTGGGATTTTGTTTTCAGAAATCCATTGCGTTCTGGCAGGAGGGTGTTGCACCAGTGTTTTAGGGACACAGGAAGCTTATACCGAGTCAGTCCCATTGTTCTATCGAGCTCAGTATTGTCTACACTGACTGGCAGCAGCTATCCAACCCCCTTAGATGCTGGGGGTTGAAACTTGGAGCTTCTGCTTGCAAAGCAGATGCTCCTTCCCTGAGCTATGACCCTTCCTCTTAGCAGGTAACTGGTTTGCACAGAAAAGGGCTTTCAGGTCTCTTCCAGCATCAGCAATCCACCCATCCGTCCCACGTACGTCAGTGGTACAAGAAGTATTTTAGGCAGCACCCATATAGACTTATGCATGTTCTGCCATGTGGCCGGAACCACTTTTCACATTGTTTTGGGTACATTACATCTTTAATTTAGCATTTGGGCCCTATTGGTCAACTCTGATCACAATCTCTTTCAGCTGGCAGTGACTATTGGGGTGGCACATGTGGGAATGTTCAGGGTGGCAGGAGAGGATATATTGTTTATTAATATCCTTCCTAACTTGTGCTAGCAAATTCCTTTACTTAGCAAAGTTTACATTCCCCTTCTCTCACACAGCAGAAATCTGGTTGCAGGCTCATTGCTCATTAGAACCCCTTATTATTATGCAATTCAATCTCCCTCGGATTGAATTGTATGTTCCTGGTAAGATCCCCTTTTAAATCCCTCCTAAAAGAATAAAGACACCACAGTCTTATTTATAAGCAATAAAATGAAACTTTCAGGCAGAGCACAGCATGATCCCTGAAGGTAGGCTTCAGGCTTAAAGTTACAAACTTATACTAACAGGTTTACCCCATAAGGAAGATGACCTGGGGGACTGCTTGGCTGGCAACCAGCAGTTCATTCCAGGAAGTTTGCAGGACAAAAAGGAGGCGGAAAAGAGGGAGAGGGGCAGCATGCCTTGTCCTTTGACCAGGTCTGGAAAGGTCACGCCCACCCACTAGTCACATGCAAGGAAGGATGCTCCCAGGCCAGGAGGAACAGGAAGTTTCGACTGGCTGGATCAAACATTCCCTTGCATGTCCACTCTAGGAAAACAAGGAATGTTGTACTTGACTACTCTCAGTGGATTACATCCACAGCACAGACAGCAAAGTCCTTCTCACGTCACTAGCAGCACTGCAACTTACCTGGACTGTGTCTGGGGCAGGAGAGGACGGCGGCCAGGTCAGGGCTGCCCAGATGAACAGATGAAGCTCCTGCTGGTGAGGTCCACATAGCCCTGACCTTACCGCTTCCCTGCCCTGTCCCAGCATTTTATTTATATATTTTATTTATTTATTTAAAAATAATCTAGTCCCATCTAGAGAAGCTGCAGCCACATGAGTGGCAGGAGCCCAGTTTCCCCCCACCACACTAGGAATTCAGTCATCCTGCTGCAAAAGCCAGCAGGAAAGTCCCTCCCCATCTCTTCATCCAACCAGTCATTGAAAACACTTATGCAATTCAAGTTTTGTTGCTGTACAAGCAAAGTCCTCCATGCATCTTATCTGGTCTTGTTTTCCACTCTAACCATCAGCATTAGATTCCTCCTGAACTGGTTCTTACCAGTCTTGTGGTCAGGCTGCATTCTTGCATTGCTGACACTGGCCTCACTGATAATGAGCTTTGCAGAATTTCTACCTCCTGGTCCCTAGCCATAATGCCAAAATGGAATGATTAGGGGGTCTTCCAAACAAGAAAGGAAAATTCTGCCCACTGATGATGTTATATTATCATTTAAAGCACCCAATGAATTCTAAGCATGCATCTGATCCATATTTTTGGGTGGCCTGGGATAGCTTGGTAGAGCATGAGATTCTTAATCTCAAGGTTGTGGGTTTGAACCCCACATAGGGCAAAACAGTCTTGCACCGCTAGATGACCCTTGCGGTTCTTTCCAATTCTATAATTCTATGATTCTATCTCCCTTTCCAGAAAGGAATAAAGTCCTGAGGATCAAGACTGTGGTTGAAGAGATGGTTGATGGGCAAGTCGTATCATCCAGAACTGACGAGAGGGAACAGAAGATGTAGCCGGTGGCGGAACAATACGCATTTTACGTTCTTTGTGTTAAGGCTAAAAAAAATAACCTAATTTCAAATCCTGCCTTTCTAAAGACAAAATGATACTTCTCTATAGTTTTAAAAAGGGAACTCAGTGATAAAGGAAACAATGTGCTATTCCTAAAGAATCGATCGACTGTTTCTTCTAATTAAAAAAAAAAGTCTGTGTACATTATGACAAAAGGCTGCAACTGTGTGTTTTGTTATTATCTGAAATATACCGTATTTTTCACTCTATAAGACGCACAAGACGCACCTAGTTTTTGGAGGAGGAAAACAAGAAAAAAAATATTCTGAATCTCAGAAGCCAGAACAGCAAGAGGGATCGCTGCGCAGTGAAAGCAGCAATCCCTCTTGCTGTTCTAGCTTCTGTGATAGCTGTGCAGCCTACATTCGCTCCATAAGACGCACACACATTTCCCCTTACTTTTTAGGAGGGAAAAAGTGAGTCTTATAGAGCAAAAAATACGGTACTCGGAGTCGAGTGTGGATTTCATGCTCTTTATTCAGCTCATAGTAGCGAGGAATGAAAGTTTCCCCAAAATATCTGCTTTATATACATTATTTACACAGTGGGCTGCATGTGATTGGCTAATTCCTGGATTCTCCTGTAGGCCAATCAGGCTGCGGATTCACTTCCACCTGGAGCTGGATTGGGTGGCTCCTGCGGACCAATCATACTGCTGCATTGTTCTAGGACCAATCCGACTGCTGCATTCTGAATCCTATTGTTCTAGGACCAATCAAACTGCTGCATTTTGGATCCTATTCAACTCAGTACATAACATTATCAGTTTAACTGGTTGAGTTAAACCACTCCAGCCTGTATCTAGTGCTGCCCATGCGAACACACTTCCACTCTTGCAACAGGACTTCTTCTTCCCCTTTGCATGCGCTCAAAAATCTGCTCTGGGGGGTCCCAGCCTGGGGGAGTTGGGGGGGGCTGAAGATGGAAGGAGAAAGATTCATTCTTCAAATGGAAGTCTGCTCATGCAACATTGGGTTCTGCTCTCCCCAGTCCAGCTTCTTTATCCTAAACCCAGCTCTATGTGGGACTGAATACTTCCCTTAGGCCAGAGATATGGTCCCTGTGGCGGTCATTCCTCTCCATTGCCCACAATGGCTGGGAATGATGGCAGAGGGAATTAAACAACAGCAGGCAGGCCACATGTTCCCTGTCCCTGCCCTAGGCAAAACAAGGAAGTTTATCCAGGATAGAGATTGGAAATGATCTATCGATTACTGTTCTGTTTTTCATCCTTTCAATCCTAAATCCAGTTCTCCACATTTCTGCAGCAATCTGCGATCATTTTTAAAAAATCCTCAAGAAAATTCTTCAGCATATTACTGTCAGTTTCTCTCAATAACCACATTGTTGCGTTCAGTTTTGATTATCACGTGCAGTTTTTGCAAGCAATTTCCCTCAACTTGAACGTACCTTTGTGAGTTATTTTTCAGAAACACATGCATTTTTATGGATGCTATTTAGAGTACTTTATGCATTTCTGTACACGTTGGGAAGCTCACAAGCAGGACATGACTGCAACAGTGCTCTCTCCCGCCACCCCCACCCCCCACTTGTGATTTCCAGTGTGGCATTAAGAGGCATGACATTTTTTCACTGTAGAGGCAGTGGTATTGTAGCTACTACCCATCAAAATAATAATAATAATAATAATAATAATAATAATAATAATAATAGATTAGTTATACCCCGCCCATCTGGCTGGGTTTCCCCAGCCACTCTGGGCAGCTTCCAACTGAATATTAAAAACAATACAGCTTCAGACATTAAAAACTTCCCTAAACAGGGCCGCCTTCAGATGTATTCTAAAAGTCAGATAGTTGTTTATTTCCTTGACGTCTGATGGGAGGGTGTTCCACAGGGTGGGCACCACTACCAAGAAGGCCCTCTGCCTGATTCCCTGTAACTTCATTTCTCTCAGTGAGGGAACCACCAAAAGGCCCTCTCCACTGGACCTCAGTGTCCAGGCTGGATGATGGGGGTGGAGGCGCTCCTTCAGGTTTACAGGACTGAGGCCATTTAGGGCTTTAAAGGTTAGCACCAACACTTTGAATTGTGCTGGGAAACGTACTGGGAGCCAACAGCATTTTCCTCCTTCGATTCGTCAAATCCTCTTCTTATTATCGTTTATTATGCATGCTATTTGTTGGTCCTGACCTGCTGATTTTCAGCTGCGTTGAGCATTTCTTTTCATGCTAAGGTAGGATCGAAACACTATAAGCGAGCAAACAGGTAAATTGACAGCATTTTAATAGCGGCTAACCACACAAAATTGGATGGGATAGAATGCCCCTGTTGCCTTGTCCAGGTTGCACCCAGGGCAGCTGCCCCTGACACCTGCCTCGAACAATACCACTGCTTCCTTATTATCCTCCCAGCTCCTTTTTATCTTTTTGATACATGAAGTAATCCTTTGCCTGTCAGCTAACACACATCCCCTTTGGCAAACACGTAGGCCTCCGAAAACAGGAAGATTCTGTTGTTGTTTCCCAACAAAGGATAATATACAAATATATAAAGTCGTCCTTTGGAGAGAGAGGGGGGGAAAACTACCCTTCCCGCTTTGATGATCTTGATCCGTGCAAAAGAGCCAAAAAAACCACTCCTCTGTTTCACAGGCATGAGTCACTAGCCAATTCTATGAAAAAGAAGAAGAAGAAGAAAAGAGAAATAATTCTTTTAGATTCTTGACTTCTTGCTCCAATACCATTCATAAGAAATCTCTGTCAAAAGCAAACATGCACCACACCTATAAGCCGCAGGGCTTGGGTCCATTGCAAAGTGATAAACTCAAGATGGCATCTCCGACACGATCACTGAGTTTCCTGTATCTGAGTAATGGCTGTAGAGGGGGGGGGGGGGTCAGGACCAAGATTACAGCCTGTAGGCAGTTAATGCTCATCCCCATTGCAGGCCTAATGAAAATCTCTCCTACTACACCCATTGGTAGCAAATAGCACCTTGGGGACAGGGAAATTGCATTGCAACCATTAAGGGGGATTAAATCCACTCATCTTACGCCACCCATCCTGATTCCCCCATTCCTATTATTTAGGGGAAGGAAACGAAACATTACGTTCAAAATACAACACAACTGCTGCATGGGTTGTACTTGGGGGGGAAAGGAAGGGTCTATTAAGACAGTCACATTTACACAGGGAAGAAAAGAAAGATAGTGATTTGTCAGTACCAGCAAACTGCAGTACATATTGGTTGGTTTCTTTAGTGCAAGCAGAGAATTTGATTTACACCATCCATCCACTCATCATATTTGTACTCTGTTGCATATATCTAGTGATATACAGGCAATGCAATTTAAATGGGCTTTTATTTTTAAACCAAAACTTTTTATATTTTTAAAATAATATTTTAAAACCAAAAGGGTTTATATTTTAAAATGTTTTCAGATGATTTTAATTGCTTTAAATATGCTTTTATTTTATTTTCAATTGTATTCTTTTAACATGTTGGTGTTAGCTGCCCTGGGCTCCATTGAAAAGAAGGATGGGAGGGGCATTATTATTATTATTATTATTATCCAGAGCCATGAGAGAGAGAGATGATAGATAGATAGATAGATAGGGAGAGAGATATTCAAGTATGCTGAAGAAATGAAGGTAAATGATTTTAGAAACTGGAGGGAGGCTTAGTAAGTTAGAAGATATTTCCGGCCAGCGCTGCACCACATGGATTGTTTCGGAGTTTTGACTCCACTCCACCCAAATCCGCCCCTGTTAGCAGAGCAAATACCTGGAGGGCGCTGCGTTTCCACACCAGCAGACAATTTGGGTTTGCACACATCATCCAGCTTGGCCAGGAGATAATTAAATGGGCAAAGAGATGAAAGTATGTTGCCTAAGGAGGTGTGGACTTCTGCAATCAAACACTCCCTTTGTTTCCATATATAAAGCCCAATCCTACATTAAGGCTGTTCTGCTTTGCTCTGCCAGCCCTTCAGCAGGTTCTGCCCAGCAAGGTCCTTCTAGTACGCCATGGCCCTCTCCATCAGAGCATCCTCGGGGCCTCGCCAGTTCTCCTCCCGGAGCGGATACGGAGGAGGCTCTCTTAGGCTGTCTAGCAGCAGCAGTGCAGGGAGCTTCGGGGGGTTTGGCGGCGGGTCTCTGCTCAACTTTGGTAGCAGTAGTGGCGGTGGATATGGAGGAGGAGGAGGATATGGAGGAGGCAGTGGGTTTGGTGGAGGACTAGGTGGTGGATATGGTGGAGGGGGCTATGGTGGAGGGCTAGGAGGGGGCTACGGTGGAGGGTTAGGATCTGGCTTTGGAGGTGGCTTTGGGGCTGGAGGAGGAGGAGGAGGAGGAGGAGGAGAAAGCAGCCTTCTATCAGGTACTGAAAAGGAAACCATGCAGAACCTGAACGACCGCCTGGCTGCCTACCTGGACAGGGTGCGTTCGCTGGAAGAAGCCAACACTGAACTGGAACGCAAGATCCGCGAATGGTACGAGAAAAATGGCCCTGGGGCTGGTGGCCCTGGGACCGGCAGAGATTACAGTAGATACTACCCTATCATTGAAGATCTCAGGAACAAGGTGAGCAATTTCCCCCTCCCCCCGCCAATGATGCCCTCCGAAGAGGCATTGATTGTTGAGGCATTCTGGGAACTGCAGCTCCGTGATTGGTACACAGGTCTCCTAACTTCTCTCAGTACCCTTAATTAACTACAGTTCCCAAGATTCTTTGGGAAAATCCACAGTTGCTTGAAGTGGTATGATGATGCTTTAGATCAGCCTTCCTCAACCTGTGGGTCCCCAGATGTTGTTGGACTACAACTCCCATCATTCCTAACTAGCAAGACCAGAGCTCAGGGATGATGGGAGTTGTAGTCCAACAACATCTGGGGACCCACAGGTTGAAAACCACTGCTTTAGATGTATAGGACAGAGGGGGGCCTATGCCATGTTCATTAATTTCAGTGTGTCTACCGTGAGTGAAACTTAGTTGGCTGCCATCCCAAGTTAGCTGCTGTGTGTGGTTTTGCAGGCATGTTTTTATTTCCATGTGCCGTTTTATCTGCATGTATTTATTTTAGAATTACTAGTGAAACGTTAGTACTCATGAACAAGCAATGGTCTGGGCAGAGCTGCATTCTCTAGAAACGTTCTTCTTGTTTCCCAGATCATCAACGCAACGATCGAAAATGCCCGGGTTGTTCTTCAAATTGACAATGCAAGGCTGGCAGCTGATGATTTCAGGCTGAAGTAAGTAGACACCCATTCCTTATGAAACATTCACCGCCCCGCTCCAAATCTATCATCTTCTTTAGCTATGTGATCTGTACCTACTCTTTTGCGTTTGTAAATAGTGGTAAGGTCAGGTGCAGATCACATAGATCCAGCTACATCAAGTCATTTGATACGATGCCGTTTGTTTAACAGAAAGAGCTCTATGTCTAATTTCTTCTTAGATTCGAGAATGAAGTGGCACTTCGCCAGAGTGTCGAGGCCGACATTAACGGCCTCCGCAGAGTCCTGGATGAACTGACTTTGACCAGGGCTGACTTGGAGATGCAGATAGAGACTCTGAACGAGGAGCTGGCATACCTCAAGAAGAACCATGAGGAGGTAGGCCATGTTGTACTTACATTATTTCAGTTTGTTTGTTTGTTTTCATTTTTCAAGGGGAAGCCAGAGTCAGGTCTGCTTGCTGGATCTTGTTCTCCAACCCTTGCTTTAGGGCAGATCCTCACCATAAATTTAAAGCATTTTCAATGTACATAGGTCTTCCCACAAAGACGTCTACAGTTCATTGAGGGGGCTGGAAAGGGTAGCTCTGTGAGAGGGGAACTACAGTTCCCAGGGCAGCTGTCTACCAGCTCCATCTGGTACGCAGGCTGAGACCCTACCTGTCTCACCAGAGTGGTGCATGCTCTAGTTATCTCTTGCTTAGACTACTGCAATACGCTCTATGTAGGGCTACCATTGAAGGTGACCCAGAAACTACAACTAATCCAGAATGCGGCAGCTAGACTGGTGACTTGGAGCGGCCACCGAGACCACATAACACTGGTTTTGAAAGACCTACACTGCCTCCCAGTACGTTTCTGAGCACAATTCAAAGTTTTGGTGATGACCTTTAAAGCCCTAAACGGCCTCGGTCCAGTATACCTGAAGGAGTGTCTCCACCCCCATCATTCTGCCCGGACACTGAGGTCCAGTGCCAAGGGCCTTCTGGCAGTTCCATTGCTGTGAGAAGCCAAGTTACAGGGAACCAGGCAGAGGGCCTTCTCGGTAGTAGCACCTGCCCTGTGGAATGCCCTCCCACCAGATGTCAAAGAGAAAAACAACTACCAGACTTTTAGAAGACATCTGAAGGCAGTCCTGTTTAGGGAAGCTTTTAATGTTTAATAGACTATTGTATTTTAATATTCTGTTGGAAGCCGCCCAGAGTGGCTGAGGAAACCCAGTCAGATGGGCGGAGTATAACTAACAAATTATTATTATAGGGGGAGCCATATGTTTTAAATGTATGTTGGATAAGCTTCAAATGTATATTGTGGATCTGCCCTTAGAGGCAGTTTTAGGGCTAATAGTTGGATCCGTTGTCAAATATGTGTGTGTTGGGGCAAACGCAGTCAAACTCTGATATACTTGGATGCCACAAGGAATGTGAAGTGCTTCTTCCTATCATAAAGCTTCTTAAACCTCAAATGAGGAGTTCCCAATCTGTGGTCCATGGACCACGAGCAGTTCAAAAGTTTCACCCAGGTGTTCCTCAACATGTCTGGGGTGAATGGCAGTAGCAGCCACTGTGAATGGCAGGCTCAGTGGCTGCTCTGTTGTTCTAAGAGGCAGGAGGACTGGAAGTGACCAGAAGAGGGTGCCTAAAAGGAGCAGAGAGGATTGGCAGCCAGAAAGGCAGAGTGAGAGGCACATCCATTGCATCAAATGCTCACATTGAGTTCTAATTATATTTTTATTGCTGCTTTTATTGTAATATATATGTTCATTCAAATGTTCAGTTTAAAAATTATACAGAATCAAGGACAAGTCATTCTAACTGCTATGGCAGGCAAAAAGATTGTGAATTGGTTCGCCAAAACCCTCAACCATTTAAAAGTGGTCCAGGGCACTCCTGTTTCGTTTTTTATGCTGGTTTTTATGCGTGTTTTATTTATTTGTTGCTGTAAGTCGCTTTGAGCTACTTTTGTGTTTGTTTTAATAAAAGGGCTGGTGAACTGCTTTTTTTTTAAAAAAAAAGTATAGTAAGTTTAACAGTATGAGGCAGTTTGAATCCCCATGACGGGGTGAGCTCCAATTGTTCGGTCTCAGCTCCTGCCCACCTAGCAGTTCGAAAGCACATCAAAGTGCAAGTAGATAAATGGGTACCTTTCCAGCGGGAAGGTAAACAGTGTTTCCATGCGCTGCTCTGGTTCACCAGAAGTGGCTTAGTCATGCTGGCCACATGACCCGGAAGCTGTACGCCGGCTCCTTCAGCCAATAAAGCGAGATGAGCACTGCACCCCAGAGTCGGTCACGACTGGACCTAATGGTCAGGGGTCCCTTTACCTTTTAAGCTGAACAAATGAATAAAATAAAGACTGCTTGTTTCTATTTGGTCTTCGCAGGAGCTCCAAGGACTCCAGGGCAGTGTTGGGGGGCAAGTCAGTGTGGAGATGGATGCTGCTCCAGGGATTGACTTGACCAAACTCCTGAATGACATGAGAGCCCAGTATGAGGCAGTGGCTGAACAGCACCGGAAAGAAGCTGAAGCCTGGTTCAACGAAAAGGTGACCGCCTTGGGAACAAAACCATTTGCTCAGGTCAAATGGCAAAAACTAGTGCTCCAAGGTGAACTGCGCCCTTCCTGTCCTTCTCCCCTCATTCCGGCATTTGATGTTTCAGAGTGGAGAGCTGAAGAGAGAGATCTCTACAAACACCGAGCAGCTCCAGTCGGGGAAGAGCGAAATCACAGACCTGAGACGTACGTTGCAAAGCCTGGAGATCGAGCTGCAGTCGCAACTTGCTATGGTATGGGAATCCACCCACTGGGGCCTTTAATGTCTCTTATGTTTACATTTTGCGGACGTGACCTTTAAATCAGCACAATGGGGCACGGCAGAGAGAGGAGGCAGAGGCTGCAAATATGGGTGAATTCAGTAAACTTGTGGCAAGTTGACTCACACTGGCAGTGACAGAAGCCAGGCCCAGCAGGAAAACATCAAGTGAGGTGTTGGCTCAAGCCTGACAGCATGGTGGATTAGTATTTTATCCACCCAGGCACCAGTCTCAATGGGGAGCTGGATTCTGTGGTTTAGCAAGCTGAAAAGGGGGCTGGTAGCTGCAGAAGCTGCTTAGAGCATTAACGTTAAGATTATGGCAATAGTTCTCACCTCTGCTCCAGTCGAAACTTAGATCAGCCTTCTTCAATCTGGTGCCCTCTTGATTTTTTTTAGACTCCAACTCCCATCAGCTCCAGCTACTGGGTTTGGTGAGGCATGATGTCTGGAGAGCACCTGTTTGAGGAATACTGGGACTTGAACATAGGCCAGCTGTGGGGAGGGGCTGATTTGAACCAGAAGGCAGGCATAAATCGGGAAAATTAAATTAAAAACAAAGGGAAACAGGAAGTCACGGCAAAATCCTGGGCACAGACTAGAGAGGAGCAAGAGTTGCTTAGTCACAGGCAGAGTGACCATGACTGAATGATACCTTTCTATGAGCCAGTGAAGAGTACCAAAATCAACAGCTAGAAGTCCTACCATTTTTCAAACTACCTGAGGAAAGGCATGGGGAAGAAATTTGGTTCAGTTTGCCTATTAACACCTGTTTGTCTAACATGCTTTCCCTGAAAAGATAAGCGAATATTCACAACTGTGTGCACAAAATGTATTTCTTGAAGGACATGCATATTAAAGCGCATATATTTGTGGAGACAACGTGCAAATTGCATGCAAAAAAATGTATAAATTGGGGTGGGGGGAGTACACGCAAAATGCCGACAAATTTTCACAAGGGCTTTTTTTGGGGTGAAAAACAAAATTGCCATGCGGTGTGGGAACGTAGCAAACTGAGCTTAAGATCTGAAAAATAAGGAAGAGAGAGAAGACAGAGTGGTCCATCTCTATCTGAGAGCCAAACAGCACATTACAGGCATCTTTTCAAGAAGTTTTCCTTTCTGTGGGGTTCCAGACATGTGCCTTTGGAGGTGGGGATTTTCAGAAGAGTGGAACAGGCAGGGAAGGGGGTTCGGGACCATTTCCTTCCAGCTGTTTTTCTCCCCTCTTGATCTCCCTTCCCAGACCTGGCTTTTTCCTCTTCAAAGGAGGCAACTGGGCCACAGTTACATAGGTTTGTGAGCCATGTGCTATTGGGCCTGTGGGTTGCTCTGTCTTCCATTCAAGAGTCATATGGGTGCCACTATCTGACAAAATACTTCTTCCACTTCATTTCTTGTGTATTGGGCTAACGCACCTCTCTTTCTTTCGATACAGAAAAAATCTCTTGAAGACACTCTAGGAGAAACCGAAGCAGGCTACTGTGCCCAGCTGGCTCAAATGCAGCTTCAAATTGGAAACCTGGAATCCCAGCTTTTCCAGGTCCGAGCAGACATGGAGCGGCAAAATGTGGAATATCAGCATCTCCTGGATATCAAGGCCCGTCTCGAGATGGAGATTGAGACTTACCGCCGACTGCTAGATGGCGAAGTTGGGTAGGAAGGCTGCCAAATTTACCTCTCTCACTGCGGAGTAGGTTCTCTCACACTGAGACTGAGCATACAATGTACCTACATAAAGCACATTGGAAGCACATTTTCCTCCCTCAAGGAATTATGGGAGTTGTGGTTTTTAAGGGTTCCTGGGAACTGTAACCCTGTGAGGAATAAACTACAGAACCCAAAATTATTTGAGAGGAAGAATGTACTTCAAATTGTGCTTTCAAGGTATAGTGTGGGCGCACCCTGAGCTTGCTCTGTCTTTACTGTGCCCAATTCTGACAAAAGGATGTGGCCTGATATTTCTACCATCTCTCCACAGGTCATTTGAAAGTGCTTCCGTGGCAAGTGTCAAGTCGGTGGATTCCTCTCGCGGTGAGCAAACATTAGGATTGCAGTTGCACAGCTTGGGCCTGCCAAAAATACATAACAATTACTTGGGTTCAGGATTCCAGCCAGCCAGCCATGCCATGCCCTTTCCTGGGATACTCCATTCCATTCCCCTTTCTCACCCCCAGCTTTTCCATTTTCTCCTCAGCATTTAGTCACCTCATCAGACTGTTGCCACTAAACCTGCTCAGTCTTTACTGGGCTCGTGTAGGATATTCCACCCAGCCCCATATAAAATCATTATTTATTTCATTTATGAATCGCCTTTTCTCCAGAAGGAGTCTGGGACTATGCGCAATAAATAAATAAGACAAACTGGTTATTTTGTACTTCTACAAGCCTGGGGATTGCCCCCCGATCTTACTGAGAGCATTACCTCCCATTTATGGAGCTGTTTGGAGCTATGAAAGACCCACACATGGAAAATGAGTTTGCTAATGGTATATAGCAGAAGCAGGAAACCACAAGCCCCAGGGGGCAACTATGGCCCTCATCAGCCATGCTTCATGCCCTTCTTGTGGGTTTTTGGCCTGGCTGAAGCAAATCCCTTAACTGTGATCATTACTTTCGCTTGTCAGGATGGGGGATAAAGAGTGGGGGGGGTATCAGTGTGTTCAGGAACTAGCTAATAATAATAATAATAATAATAATAATAATAATAATAAATTTATTATTTATACCCCGCCCATCTGGCTGGGTTTCCCCAGCCACTCTGGGCGGCTTCCAACAAAACACTATCATACAGTAACCTATTGAACATTAAAAGCTTCCCTAAACAGGGCTGCCTTCAGATGTCTTCTCATCTGTACAAAGACTGTACTGTCTCTACTGTACAAAGGCAAAATTTGCATTCATCGCTCTGTCCCACTTTTGCCTCTGACCTGACCAACACCACTGGCCCTTGAAGCCTACCTTGGGGGGCAATTTGGCTCCGCCCCTTCAAAATGCCATAAACCGCTGGTCTGAATACTTCGACCTTGCACTAACATCTCCTTTTTTGCTTACTGCCACCTGGAGGACGAAGGCTTTGTCTTTCCAAGCTCCTGTGGCACCCACAAGCATGTTTTGCCTCTTGGATTCATTTACTGACTCTGCCAGAGCAAGTACTTTCATTTAAAGTATCCCGAGCTAAACTGAACGCTTGGGAAACGTGAAACAGGTCGTGTGGAAGTGAAACGGTTTGTGAAACTTCTGTTTTGTTTTTGTTTTACTCAGATCCAAACAAAACCAGGAAGATCAAGACCATCGTCGAAGAGGTCGTGGATGGCAAAGTGGTTTCATCCCAAGTTAAGGAAGTTGAAGAGAAGATATAAGAGAAAAGCTTCAACAATTAGTTCTGCAAATGTGCGCAATTACTAGGTTTACTTTTTCTCCAATCGCTGCTTTCCTCTCTTAAGCATGAAATGTTACAGAAGCAAAGATGCATTTGAAATTTCTCTCTAGCCGAGTGATTCAATAAAAACTCTGCTTCAGCTTGCATGGTGGGTTATCTTACAAGTCATTCCAGGTTCCATCGCAGGTGGTTTCATTGGGTGGGTTGTGGCTTAGTGTGGATGGCATTGTTCCAAGAGGAATACAGCAGTGTGCCCACCTCCCATGCCAAGTAATGCCCGCCCTGTCCTTGCATCCTCCTCTCCTGTTGTTCCCAGCCAGGTGGTTGGGCCATGCAATAAGTAAAACAGAAAAGATCAAAACATATATAATCAGAATAAAACAAACAACCTAATAACACACACACACACACACCCCAGAAAAGAGCCACATTTTAAAAGGGTATATGTCAAACAGATCAACCAAAGGCCTGGTTAAAAAGGAACATTTTTGCCTGGTGCCTAAAGGTGTGTAATGAAGGCACCAGGTGAACTTTCCTGGGGAGAGCATTCCACAGACAGGGAGCCACTGCAGAGAAGGCCCCGTTCTCATGTTGCCACCTTCCGGACCTCTCGAGGAGGAGGCGCATGAAGAAGGGCCTCAGGAGATGGCCTCGGGGTTTTGGGAGGTTCATATGGAAAGAGGTGGTCCATGAGGTATTGCTGTCCTGAACCATTAAAATCAGACCAGAGGATGCTTTAGGAAATCTTGTATCTTGAATCTCCCAGGACTTTTGGTAATTTGGGGTGGAGGGGGGTATTTTTGGGTGCAAGTCAGTCACATGTTTTATCTCAGCTGGCTGTGCTTTAGGAACAGCCTCACACTTCAGATTTCCAATCTATGTACAGTGCCTGTACATATATTCAAATCCACAGGTATGAAACAGTGGCAGAGCAAGTGTTTGGCTGGCAAAAAAGGCCCAGATTCATTTCCCGCCATCCACAGCTAGGATTCGAAAGGACTTCTGCCTGAGAACCTGGAGAACTGTTGGCAAGCTCTGTAGACAGCACTGAGCTCAATACCAACAGCCTGACTCAATATACAATAGCTTTCCTATGTTCCTGACTACCATACTTCATAGTTCTATGTGATTTTCTCAATTCAACCCAAAAGCAATAACCGTACTCAGAACATAGAGTAATATTGTGGCAACTTGTCTCCATTTGAAAACACACAAAAAGGGCAAGAAATGTTATTAACAACTGACTATGCTTGTAGGACTACAAGAAGTTTTGTAAGGAGAACTATATAAAATATTGCAGAAAAGATTTGCGGAGAATGGATTTTAAACTATGGATTATTAGTTAGGATCAAATGTAAGATTAAGAGATGAGGTTTGAAAATCATTAGACGTGGTTGATGGAAGTCTCAGGCTAAAATAGCCAAAATGTTGCATAAGATGAGATGAGACGATATGATTTGTTTGGAAAATATATGTAAAAACTAATAAAAATGTAAATTAAAATAGAAAAAGAAATGTTATTAACATTGTCGGTACAAAGGTTTGAAAAGACAAGACTTCCTCAAGATTTAGTAACATGGTGCCCTCCAGCTATTACTGAAATCCCAGTCAGGGAAAATGGGAGCTCCTGGGATAGTTAAGGATGATGGAAGCTGTGGGTGCTTTAGCTGAGATTCCTGCATTGCATTGGGGGTGGACTAGATGTCCCTCAGAATCCCTTCCAGCTCTGCGATTCTATGAACATCCGGAAGGCACCATGTTGGGTATCTGATTACAGGAGGAATGGAAGCAAAACGAAAGGAGGATCCCTGTTGAAGAACGCTATGTAAATAAATGAGTTTTTAAAACAAATACAGAGACAAAAGGAAGCGAGCAAGAAAAATAAACAAGCATAGAGACCACAGGTCTATGGGACACAGTACCGCAATCAAACAACACATTTCAAACTAGTTTTAAGAAGGACAGAGTGCCATCTACTGGGGACGCAGAAAACAACCATTTAAAAGAATTCACTTTTTACCAAATACATATTTCACCCTGAGGGGCAGATGGGGCTTGTCAACCTGGGAAGGCAGTTCATCTAGGAAAAGGGAAACTCTCATCCTAAACCTCTGCTGCCTTGCAGAATATCTTTGGAAGAAGTAAACCCTACACAAATCTGGAGTGGAGTCCCTAAGATGGTGCCTTGTATGCCTCCTTCCGGCAACTCCTGCAGCCCAGCTGGTGCCAAATGTTTTGCTCTGCTTTCCTTTGGACCACATCAGTGAGGTCAAGACAAGAGTCTTGTTGTCTGGGCAGCCCAGGACCTCCATACACACTGCCCAGGCTTGCGCCCTGGGGAGGTCACTTTGATGCTGCTAAGAAGAAGAAGAAGAAGAGTTTGGATTTGATATCCCACTTTATCACTACCCGAAGGAGTCTCAAAGCAGCTAACATTCTCCTTTCCCTTCCTCCCCCACAACAAACACTCTGTGAGGTGAGTGGGGCTGAGAGACTTCAGAGAAGTGTGACTAGCCCAAGGTCACCCAGCAGCTGCATGTGGAGGAGCGGGGATGCGAACCCGGTTCACCAGATTACGAATCTACTGCTCTTAACCACTACACCACACTGGCTCTCACACCACACTGGCTCTCACTGCTAACATCGTGGTTTGGCTTCACCCCTGGAGGCGCACTCCATTGTGTCTCAGGACAGGTAGATGCCAACAACGATTTCACCCTGATTCAGTGGTTCTGTTGCCCAAGTTGTTAGGCTAGTTTCATTCATTCAATCTAGGCAAGGCGGTGCTTATTATGACAAAGAATATGGTTGGCCTATTAGATTTCATTAAGATTCAAATCCTGTTAATCCCCATGCACCTGAAGGAATGTTCTTCCTTTCCTCGTAGAAGGCAGTGGCCCAGTTCATACACAACACAAAGTGAAACCATGGCTTAGTGCAAGCAAGCAAAAAGTAGCTTCCCAGAGCGAAGGCAGCAGCTGCCATGCTCTTCTCCCAGGTCTAGGGATGGGGAAGAAAGTCAGTTCAGGTCACATTTAAGGGCAAGCCTACCTAATTTGCACAAAGAAACTTCCTTTGAAATTCACACTTCTACACATTTTGCAAGACACTTCTCCAGCCAATTAATGTGTATCGCTTTTGCAATTTCCGCTGATATATGTCTTTGTATAATCACTTAAGCCTAGTACATGAAGGGTTTTTTTATCAACATATAAAACACATACATTTCCATTTACACAATACATATACACAACACACTACCTTATTTTCATAGCATAAAACATACCTACATTACTCTATATAACACCTACCTATGCTATACATATCAACATACCTACACACCTACCCCACATGGACACCCACCAAGTGACTTGACTTCCAGCTGTTCTTGTTACACTACATTATTTTTACAATTAGCTTAAATGCATTTCATTATTTCTTTAATCTCTTCTTCTGTCTTAACTTTATTCTCCTTTCACTCTAATCATTTTCTGGATTCACTCAATATCTGTCAAAAGTTCTACTTTTTCCACATAGATTTTGATGTAATCCTTAAAGATAGCCCACTCCTTAGTCACTTTTTGTACCATATCTCCTCTTATCCTTCCTGTTAATTCGGCAATATGGAAGTATTCCATCATTTTAGATACATGAAGTTTTAAGTGATCATACAAAGGCCTATATTAGCAGAAATTGCAAAATTATATTACAGGAAATTGCAAAATTCAGAGAAGTGCAAATTCCAAAGGATTGACATGTTTCAGCTCACATATTGGTTTGGGGAGAGCAAATGAGGCAGGTTCACATACAAAATGCAAACTGAACTCATTTCTCCACAATCCCTAGCACAAAGGCAAAAGTCAAGGAGTTCAAGGAAGATAATAGTAGAGCAGAGATCTTAGGCAGTGAAAAGATCACCTGTGATTTTTAACAAGGGCCGTTTCAGTGGAGCACAGAGGGTAGAGGTCCCATTGAAAGGGGTCAAGATGGAGGCTAGAAGAGAGAAGCTCAAGAAAAGGAACAGCGCACTCCAGGGATTTGGAAGCAAAAGGGTGGGGGGGAAGCAAGATCAACCAAGATCCTAGAGGGCAAGGATGAGTCAGTGAAGGGGGGAGGGGGTTGGAGAATGTGGAGCAGGCAGGTGGAGGGCAGATCTTAGCAGAGCATCAAATACAGAAATTCCAGAGATTGTTCCAGCGATTGTTGCAATGGGTGTGGATCAGGGTGGTGCAGTAATGTTGCTTGGCCGGATAAAAAACAGAAGGTAAAGGAAAGATTCGGAACTGAAACTGTTTTCTGCCAAGACCTCTCAGCAACCATGAAAGCATAAGTGGGGGTAATGAATTGAGGGACAGCAAGCCAGGGCTGGAGTTCAATGGGGTGAAAATCTTGATGGGGCCAATGAAGCAAATGTTGAAGATAGGGAGGAGTGGAAATTGAGAACTGTATTATCAGTGCAGTTTCCTCCTGCCCAACATACAGTTGGCATTCCATGCCCACTGGGCATGCTCAGTTCTCATTGGGCTCTTTTGTGTCTCCCAGAGTGGGTGGGCATAAAGATATACCACAAAAACACAGGTTTTCAGGTTCCCGAGTCGCATGATACCTCGCATGATATAGGGGTGGTGTCATTTTGGATTGGCACTAGAGAATAAGTGGGGCCCTGCAGCAAACTCTATTCCATCCCCTTTCTACCCACCCCAGTTTTCCTTGTTGTCATCCCCCGCTCAACACTGAGCATTCCATTCCCACTGAGCATGCTCAGTACTTGTTGGACTGTTTGAGTTTCTTCCTCCATTTTGTCCCCACCCCCCATTTTGGATATGGGAGGGTGAACACACCTGAGATACATTAGCATCTTGTACTTCTTAAGTGATTTCAGTGGGTAGCAGTGGAGGACTTGGGTACTACAGAGCCCTGTGCAAGGCCAAATTTGCTCCCCTCCCCAACCCTCGCAGGCATCAGGTTGACCCCTGACCAGATCCAGCAGCCTCTTGCTGTGTTCTTATGTCCTGCTCAATAACCCACATAAGTAGCAACTTTGTTTATTTCTCCCCACAAATCACTGTGTTTTGAGTCCACTGGGAAAACTGTGAATAGAAAGTAGAGCATCGAAACAAAACACACACGTTCTTCCTTCTCCTTC